GCGGGGGTTTTATATCCCTTTCCTTCTCCAGGTTAGGGAAGTTTTCCATCATCATTTCTTCAAACATCTTGATTTTCCTCAGTTAAGCTGATCAGATGAATATTTGGAGCCTTAATAGCGTCCCATATCCTCCTTAAATTATTTTTATAGTCTTGGCGTCTTTTTTCTTGCCATTCTGATTGAGTGTCCTGATTGGCTTTCCTGTCCTCTAGATAAGGCATTTGATCCTCTTCTTTATTCACTTTGTTTATTCCATTTACGATATTTCTCATCTCAGATAATGTGTTCTTCATTTCAGACTGGTTCCCTTTTATAATTTCCATTTCCATTTTTATGTTTGTTTTTTTATCTCTTTGTTGAAGTTCTCACATAATTTATTTACACTTCTCAAAAGTTTATTGAGCATGTTTATAACCAGTGTTTTTAACTCTGCATCTGTTAGATTACTTGACTCCATTCTATCTGGATCTCTGTTCTGTTCTCTCATATGGTTTCTGCTTCTTTGTCTTCCCATTTGGGCTGCTTTTCCGTGTCTGTTTCTATGTACTAAGCAAAGCTAAGTCTCCCAGTCTTATTAGTGTGGATTTGTGAAGTAGGTGTCCAGAGGCACAGTCCTGAGAGGGGTTAGCCCAAGCCTCTACTCCTCCAGGGCCACCCGTTAAGATTCAACAAGCAACCCACAGATGCTGTGCTTATAGTTGCCTCAAAAGGCCACACCAGAAACCGAGGGCAGCTGCCTCCATTGTGAGTCTAGGTGCTGCTCAGCAAGGAGCTCTTGACTCGCTGAGGATGTACCTGGATGTGGCTTGGGTGGGGCCATGAGTTGGCGGAGGTGGGGTTTCAGGGAATCTTCTGGGCGGAGCAACCTCTGTTAACCAGTTTGATGACGTCACAGCTATGGTGGCGTTGTGTCCGCGCACTGGGAGGGGGAGGGCTCAGCAGGGAACAATGGATACCTCTGGCACTTCTGTAGGTGAGTCTCGTCTAGTCCCTCACCCCGACAGTGTCTCCCTGTAAGTCCCTAGGGCCCCCTGTGTGCAGCCGAATCAGCACTGGTGCTCAGAGCGAGCAGGTCCGTCACCGCGAAAAGCCGCTTGAAGACGCGGGCCCTTTAGGAGGCGTCTGCCGCCGCCGCCGCAGCCCCCGTCTCACTCAGCCTCTCGAGACTAGGCAGCCCCGTGTCCTCGCCCCGTCCTACCTTCTGCCTTTGCAGGGTGCTTTCTTGAACTTGTCCCTAGTTGTATGGCTTGTTCATCTAGATCCCAGGTGATTTTTCCTTGTTGCTGCTCCTTGTTTCTGTCACAACTTTGATTTGGTCGCCAGAGGGATGATCAGAGCCTTTATCATCTACGCCATTTTTTTTTTCTCTCCTTTCGATATTTTGATGTGCTTCCTCCCAGGATATTGCATGTAAGTTTTTTTTTAAAAAATAGTTTATCAAGCTATGATTCAAGCACCACACAATTCGAACACCCATGTACAGTGTAGGATTCAGTGGGTTTTAGTACATTCACAGAGTTGTGCAACACGCACCACTATCCAGTTTTAGGATAGTTTCATCATTCCTACCAAATCTCTCATGTCTTTTTGCAAGTTAATCCCTGTTTCCATCTCCAGCTCGAAGCAACCACTAATTCACTTTCCGTCTTTATGGATTTGCTTGTTCTGGACATTTCATATAAATGGAATCATAACTATGTGGCCGTTTGTGTCTGGCTTTTCTCATTCCGCATCATTTTTTTCTGGGTTCATTCACATTGTAGCTTCATTCCTTTGTAATGGCTGAGTCATATTCCACTGTATGGATAGATCACCTTGTGTTTATCTAGTCATCTGTTGCTGGACTTCAGGTTATATCTACTTTTGGGGGATTGTGACTAGTGC